TTGTGATTATGTCAGTTTTAGAGGAACCAATGATGGTAGATTAATATTTGGTATGCGTTTGATTAAGCATTAGCACATCTCATTTCCAGGTAGATTATTTGGTTTCATCCCATCTCAGTCACAATCTACTACGTTTTGCATAGTTTACATGTTAAAGTTAGTGATTTTGTCAGTTTAAGGGGGACCAATCATTTTGAGTCAATGATGTTTGGTATGCAATTTCATATGCATTATCACATCTCATTTCCATGGAGATTATAACCCCCACCCCCTTTTAATTGTGGTTCAATGATTTTGAAACCTTTGAATAGTTTACATGTTAAAGATTCTGGTTAGGTCAGTTTAAGGGCAATCTTTAATCATAATTCAATTATATGTGGTATGCAATACTTGTGTTAGTAATGGTGAAATAAGTTGTATTTCCTAACCATGTCGGTTATAGGAGATTCAAAGTCAATAAAATAGTCATCGCAATTTCAATGTATAAGCATTAAGTACTTTAATATATTTTGAAAAAAATCTGAATTTCAAAAAAGTTAAACTTACTGTTCATGTGCTGACTGTTATAACCTGCACGTGTAGCAATCTGCTCATTAAAATAACAGAAAATATTCGAAACTGAAAACTTCCTGTTTTCACGTAATAATCGACAATAATAAAGAGAAAATCGCTTTTCTTAATGTGTTTTATTAGTGATAATAAATTAGATATATGCCTCGCATGTGTGTAATTATGCAAATGTTGAAATTGACATAGCAACACTTTAAGATAAAAACTATGCGACATTTCAAAGTCAATGAATTCTTGTTCTGAAATGTACTGAAATTTTGTACATTGTTATTTATTGCCATTGTACATGTTCACGTTTCCATGAACAGTTCGTGTCAATACTGCATGAAATCTACTGTAAAGTATAGACGCGTGGTTTTTTATCAGCAAGTTAAGTACCTTTAGCCTTTTTTCGGTGACTAAGTTTTCTCTAGTACTTATCGACTTCTTATTCTGATTTTACTGTTGTTTTGATATCTATTTTATTTTTATCACTTAAATGCTTTTCCTATACTGATTTTATTTTCCCGCTTTGAGGTACCCTTTTATTTGTTCACTGATAGAAACATTAAAGAAGGGAGGTTTAAGTTCTGATAAAATAATGTAGCCCCGTATAGTGTCTGCCCATAATCAGACATCGTTAGAGATTGTATATGTCATATTGTAATGTTTTTGTTTATTGGAAAGTTTCTTTAATAGCTTCTGTTTTATTAATTTACACTTTCTTTACTGAAGACACAGGAAGATTAAGAGCTGGACATATTTAGGTTTGGCTAGCCATAAAACCAGGTTCAACCCACCATGTTTTCTTAAAATGTCCTGTACGAAGGCAGGAATATGGCAGTTATTCTCAAATAGTCTGTTTCTATATATTTTTGCGTTTGTTTTTCGTTGCATTTAGTGTTTCTGTTGTTCATTTGTTTTCCTCTTATAGTTGATGTGTTTACCTCGGTTTTAGTTTGTAACCCGGATTTGTTTTCTCATAATCGATTTATGACTTCTGAACAGCGGTATACTACTGTTGCCTTTAGTGTATAGACACGTGTCTGTTGTTTAAAAATGTATGTTGACCTCTAGTTGTCTTACAGTTATTTGTGTCGTGTGGTCTAGTTGACGGACAGCGACATCCCTACTCTAATAATAATATTCTTTTCTACATAAGAAAATGTATGTACCAAGTCAGGAATTTGACAGTTGTTATCCATTCGTTTGATGTGTTTAAGCTTTTGATTTTGCCATTTCAGTAGGGACTTTCCGTTTTGAATTTTCCTCGGAGTTCGGTATTTTTGTTATTTTATTTTTTATAGACAGTACCGTGAAAGTCATCTAACAACAACTGTTATGATCGACAAACTCATGGTAAGAATAAGAAACAACACATCCGTGTCATATATGTTTACATTATTCTTCAAACAAAATAAAAAAAAATTAATTTTCTTTGTGTTATTGTCGGTCATCAGGTAGTAACAGGAAGTGAAAGAAGATTAATTAAAATTCAATTTAAAAAACATCCCTGTTTCAACTTTCTATTGATTTAAGGAGTTGTAGTTCTCTACCTATTCAGGTTATTACAGTCAGCAAGTCACAAGTAAGTATTTTTCAGTTGTTGTTCACATTCGAAAGTGGATAAATGTAATAGATGCTAATATAATTGTAATTTCATTGACTTTTTAGACGATTTTTTGAAAAGTTAGGACATTTGCGCATCAAATATTATCTAGAAAAAAATATAAAAAGATTGGAATCAACAAAAAACTATGAACCTATTACCTTAAAAACATTACAAAAATGTAGATCACGTTACATCATCCAGTGGAATCTTCCTTCCATTGCTGTTTCGGAGCTGATTCACCAGATCCTCCAATCGCGCAAGCTCGGCTGATCAGTCTTAACCTGCCACTAGATGGATTACATTGCTCCCGATATGTCGGCTGGTGTAACTACTATACTGTCATTGAATGGTTATTTTTATCAGCAGATGTTTCTGCTGTTTTCAAAGTCTCTTAATTAAAAATAAAAATAAGTCCATTATTAAGACTAGCTGTTTCTTATTATTCATAATCACATACCTAATATCTGCAAAACTATAATGGATAGATAGAAACTTAGATAAGCAAAAAGTATCAGCAGGACAAGATCTACAAATATTCAGATATTAAGCAAAAACGCAATAAATTTGTAAACCTTCGTGGATTGTTATGAAACTTGGACGAACGCTAATCTACTAGACAAGAAATAGCATCTGATTTTATTTTTAAATTCTGTAATTTATTAATTAATGGACTCACGTTTTAGGTCAACATAACACTTTTACACTGACAACAGCATTCGCAGGCGAGACACAGGGTACCGCAGAACTCCTTATGTTTTTTTTCATTAATAACTGTGCATGGCTAAATATGGCGTTCTTCAGCAGCTAGACATGTTCGGGAGTTAAGTGACGTCCTATGGACACACTAGGGGGATGGACACGTTTCTGAGTGTAACACGCACACACACACACAAACATGCACACACATATGTAAATGTGTGCAGTTATTTCATACATATAATCTGAAGCTCTTTATGTTTTAAAACATTATTCTTAAGTGGTATACATGTTACTATTAAAAAATTATCAAATATAATCATGATAATGTTTGAAAACTACATTTTTTCCACAACTTTCTTTCGTTTGTTCATTGAATAATACAAAAAAGATTAATACATTTCTTTGTCGTTTTTTTTATCTTTTTATTTCTTACAACGAAATACAAATGGACGCAAATATACATAGACCTTTCTTCCAGGTAAAAATCTAAATGACTTTACTTCATGTATGTTGTGTTCTTATGTTGCATTCTTAGCTGTTTCAAAAAGTCTCATTAAAAATAATTTGTCCAAAGTTTACGAAATATTTAACGCACATGTAACAGCTGAACATTTTCTCACATGCATCATTATAATCAGAAAACATAGTAAATCATATTATTTTAAGGACAATGGTAAAGGCGGCTGATAATTTTTAAGCATTTTATGTTAAAAGACACATTTCGGTCTATTTGTTTCGTGTTACAGGAGAACACAGTATTCCCTGTTTAAATTTCAGAAAGGATTGTTATATCAAGAATTTTATATTTCACAGGTTACTTGATAAACTAAAAGGACAATGAGGATAATTGCAATTGTTAATTTGTTACTTGTATCAACTTTCCTATGTGTAAAGACGGAGTTCACTGTGAAATTCCCCTATGTGTGTACATTCAATACATATTGCCGATGCTATAATGAAGAAGGAACAGAGAAACTACATGTGGATTGCGCAAACGGTAAAATATCGAAAATTCCGAAATTTCCATCGAATACTTACATTTTAAATCTGCAACATAACCGTATACGCGAAATAAGCGATAACGCATTTCAGTGTTTAGCGAATCTGTCAATCTTGGATTTATCATATAACAATATCAAAGGTTTAAAATTACACTCTTTTGAGGGTTTAGGAAAACTGAATGAGTTAAACTTAAATTACAATCCTTTAGAATATGCAAAATATCCAAATGGAATGTTCATCCCATTGGTATCCCTCGGACGTCTTTGCATTAAAAGTAAACTTGTCATGGCAGCTGTGAGTAATATTTTCTCAGATAAAACGATATCATATTTGAAGTCACTGGAGAAATTGGAAATAGATGTTCCTGCAATCTATCAAAAACGTGATATATATGGAGAAGGATATAAATATTTAATTCATCTTAGTTCTCTAAATGTAGGCACATGTGATGATTTACTTATTAATGCACAAATCTTCGAGTATATGCCACTTTTAACACATATTTCATTTGACAAAAAGTGTAAGATTCATATCATACCAGGTGGACATCGAAGTTTGAAAAACATCAGACAATTTTACGTTCATCGTTTAGTTGACACGCTACTACCATATCTTAATAACTTTACAAATGAATTGAAACTGACTCCAATTGAAACATTGTCATTTCGAAACACTTTTGCAGAGGGTTTTGAAGACCTTTACTATCCATGGAATCCGATAATTAGAAATTTGCAGAACTCGTCTTTAAAACATCTGCAGATGACTGAAAATAAACTTGGCGAAAGTTTTCCTGTATCTAAACTCGATCCTCCTCCTTCAAGTTTACAAGCGCTGAATCTTTCCAGCAATAAACTCGAGGAGTTTGCGTTAGATTTAGGGAATATTCGAAATCTTAGTCTACAAAATAATTAGCAAGGAAGATTTCTAAGTACTCGTAGTTATAAAATTTCAAAAAAATCTAGCAGTCTTGAGTTTATAGATTTATCAGCGAATAGTATTGAAACGCTTACGTGTATATTATTCAAGGACCAACCAAATTTAAAATATATCAATCTTAGTCATAACAAGTTGCGAAAGATTACATTTGATGTTTCTCGATTGAATGATCTTCATTATTTAGATCTATCAAGAAACAATTTTACGACATTGGACGAGAAAGCCATGGCAATGCTCGATGGTCTATCTAAAAATACTTTCTTCACAGTTAATTTACGAAATAATGCATTGCAATGTACCTGCAACACACTGACATTTCTAAAGTGGATTTCCAAAACAAAAGTTGATTTGTTGCTAAATGATAAGTGTACTTTAGAAGATGGGGCCATCGTAAGTCTCAACCCAATAGATTCAATAATACAGCAACTACAGAAAGAGTGTATTTCATATACGAACTTAACAATTGCTTTGTCTATAGGGTTGGTAATTATCCTAGCCGTTCTTATTTTGGCTTTAGTGTATAAATACAGATGGAAACTTCGATACATGTTTTACCTTGCCAAAAGTAAACACTATAGTTACAAGGCTTCCACAGACGACGATGAATACACTTACGATGCTTTTATCTCGTACTGTGATGATGATAGATCATTTGTGTTAAAAGATTTCATTGCAAATTTAGAAAATGAAGGGAATGCTAAATTATGCGTGCACCAACGTGACTTCCTACCTGGCCAAGAGATAACAGTCAATATTACAAACGCTATCCATGACAGTAGAAAGACAGTCTGCATTATAACAAGAAAGTTTTTGGAGTCACACTATTGCATGTTTGAATTCAATATGGCCCGGATGGAAAACATTTATTCTCGAGATGGAAGAAATATAATTTTCCTAGTATTTCTTGAGCAAATCCAACCGAGGGAAATGCCACTTATGATGCTCGAACTTATAGAAAAACAATCTTACATCGAATATCCCAATGACGAAGAAGGAAATATTGTGTTCTGGGGGAAAATTAAAGAAGCTATTCATTCATGACATTTGTAGCAGTACTGAATTTGTTGTCCAAACGATTTTTTATATTCGTCTTCATTATGTTTAAACTTCAATATGAAGAAATAACAAACAAAAAATACATCGTTTAAAAGAAGAAAGTAATGTTGATCCGAACGTTAAATTGTATGTTGTAACTAAGGCTATTTCTGGTCTTTTCCTGTCCATTTGTAGGACCCATGTCAAAAGGGTTGTGTAAATTGTATAGATTACGCAAAACATTATGATTTTCAATACCAATTCTTCGATCTATCCACATTATAAATCTCCAAAAGAGGAAGCCCCGGTGGTTTGTGGTTTTTTTTTGGTTGTTCAAAAGGGGAAGCCTATGCATGTTTAGCGAATATCAATTTTAAGTCTGGTTTCACCCGACTGGTTATCAAACCCATAACCGTCCGCACTCGAGGCGAGCACAATCGAAGCGATTCTAATTTTTGCTGAAATGTCAACAAAATATTATTAGAGAAAAAAACCTTTGGAAAACGTTATGAATAAAACTTATACATGCAATAATTGAATTTCAAAATTATGTGATTACAATTTTTGTAAATTTCAAAGTTACTTGTACAAATATAATCCAAAAGAAAAAAAGTACTTGTGAGCTGTAATGAATGCTGTAAGTAAGACTTTTTTTTTCTTTTTTTTCTTTTTTTTTGCCGTTGTCAAAATTACAAATTTCTGTGATTTTATTATTTCTTTTCTTCTTTTTCAACAATATGGATCATTCTATATTGATATATGTATTATTTGGATATATTATAATCTAGAAATGTATATATTTCAGAAATAAGTTAACTAATAAGTACTGACCAAATAATTATATACTAACGAGGCCGGGATAAGGTATCGGTATTTCTTGTATCCAACTAACAAATGTCAAAATTTCAAAGACAATTATGGTCCGCATAGCCATGGTATAAAAACAAACAACTATGTCAACAAAGAAAAACTAAATGGCATGTAGACACTCTATAGACATAGCACATAAGCAACAATGAAAGACGAGAATACAAAAAAATGACCAAAGCACAATAACACTATGGCGGGATGTATACATAACGAACCACGCCAAAAGGATATTATCAAAAAGTGAATCAACAGTAAAGGTTACAAATATACAAAGACAAACAAAAAACACACTTTCACACGTAATTAAGATTATAAACAACGTCAGTACCTAGAATCTATACTTCAAGATCTTCATATATAATTTGTGAAGTTGATACGAAATATTTATCAACAAGGTCTTGGTATCTTCCGATGAACTTTTTTAGAAAATACTTTTTTTAGAATTTGTTTTTTTACATAACCCTGGTTCATCAACTTTCTGCTCAGACACTGGTGACGTTTTATAAAGTCTGAGTAGCAGCTGCAAGTTCTTGAATACCGAATGAGTTGGGGAAATGTATATCCCATATGCAGGTGAAGTTGGTATATTGCTGCTAAGTTGGGGGAAATTTATAATTTCAAAATTAAAATCGTCTCGTTTGTCATAGATGCTGGTACAGAGATGACCGCTTATGTCCAATTCGAGGTATAAGTCTAAAAATGAGGCGGAGGAAGCCGTTTCTGTTGTTTCTTTAATTTCTAGTTCTGGAGAATATATTAATGGAACCCAATCAGGAAAGTTTGGATTGTTAATAAAAAGAACATCATCAATATCTGAATGTGAAATTAAATGATCTAGATTTTTTATCTTCTTGTTTTTGACAAGTGTCTGAAGGAACTCCAACTCACATGAAAATAAGAAGAGGTCGGCAAGGAGAGGAACACATTTCGTTCCCATAGGAATGGCGACAAATTGTTGGAAAAGTCTACTTCCAAATTCAGCAAATATGTTTTCAATAAGAAACTCAAGCATACTGATCACCTGTTCCTCGGTGTAACATGTTTTATCTTTTTGTTCACTATTAGCAAAATATGTCGCATGGTATCCGAAAGCAATAAAGTTATAGCGTATGCTGCCATTTTTATATGGGAAAGCATTATGTATTTTTTCTTTTAGACGATTTTTCAATTTGACATGGGGAATGGTGTTCTAAAGGGTTGACAAATCAAAGGTTTTGGTAGAGTTTGTATCAGAGAAAGATCGAGATTTAAAATTATCCAGAAGTTCTTTTAGAATCCACATATGGTTAATACCACTACGCGAGTAAAAAGTTTCGCAGTATTTCTGAAGACCTTCTTTCACTGCGGACAGAATTTTTGTCAATCAAATGGACAATTCCTTTGTAGAACATGCAGATGAGCCCACAATGTACCGTTGTGTGTACGGAATTTTGTGAAACTTAGGTATCCAATACAAACAAGGTAAGTCCTCAGATTTGCTGTTCAATTTGATTTTCATTGATGCCTGAAAGACTTATGATCTAACAAAATCTCATCCTTGTCAAATGACATGTTCTTGTATGTGCAATTACCTGAGTGCTCATATATTCCTAATTCTTTTACAAGACACTCTTAGTAATAAAATTCGTTTTACGAATTTGTGTTACATTGACTATTGTAAAGGGAGGATTGATAAATATGTAAGCACAAAGAAATCTAGAGTACAGAAAGGTTCTATTGAAAATCACAATATGGAAGAAGTATTAAAGTATGATCAATTCTAACTAAGCATTTAAATTAGATGTTCTTAAAGTATCCAAGGTTTATATTTGTGTGCTTCAATGCCAGTTTAACACTCGTTTTGGAAACTTTTATGATTTTTTTTTTTACCTTTGACATCCATCAACCTGAACGTCTTTTCCAGTACTATCTTTGCATCTAAAATCTGACCATGGAGATTTGCTACTGTGTGTATAATTTTCCCAGCTCAACATAACTGTACTAGTATGTATTTTTGATTCGTTATGTCTTTAAAAATGTTAACTGCATTGCCATTGTCTTTTATTTTACATTCAAAATAAAACTATCTGAATCTTTCTATCTTATATCTCTCAAATGTTTCTCGTTCGACGACCCAAAAATTGCAGAAAGCAATATGATTTACTTTCAACACAAAATCGATCCGTAACGGTTTTAAGCCTTTATACATTACCATACACATACAGAGTAGCAGTGTGTTCATTGTTCGGAACCACTGTATCTAATGTTGTTGTGGTTAGTTGATGTCTCAATAACATTTACACTGGATTTTAAGCAAGCAACAATCAGTCAATCAATAACATATAGAGCATTTTGCGGAATTTTCAAACAATCAAATATAAATGGCAATTTAAATTTGCAGCTTACTAATATTACTGATTCACAGATTTCGTTTACCACATAAAATCATAATATGAAACTGTTGTGTTAAATTAATAAAACATGTTTTGCAAAAAAGCATATCAAATAAAAATATTATACAATGTTCACTCGATCAACTACGACAAAACCTGTCTGTGTGGTAAGTTACTGTATTATTCTCAATCTCTCAGAATAGCGGGAATCGAGGTATTTGGAAAATCGGTAATATGGTGAAGAGCATGGTAATAACAATTTTTACCATGTCAAATATCAATATGCATGTCAATATAAATAGACACCTTGCAAAAAGAAAATCGACAGACGAAAAGACAAAACACTACACAAAAACAAACCAACGATTTACGTTTACCCAATATTTCCTGTTATTCATATGCAATTACGAATGTGTTGATATAAGGATATATATATAGTATATATATATGTGTGTGTGTGTGGGGGGGTGTGTGTGTGTGTATCCTATTTAATCTATTTGCAAAATGCTTTGTTTAAACAAATACTGACCAGACTTATATCCAGTGTCCTTAATTCCTTTAATTTAATTTGAAATAGGATGTTAAAATAGTTGTTGGTTAAAATGCCTCAGTTTTCTTGTGTTATGCATCATTGTTTCGTTTCCATAAATCAATTTCAGACAGGAGAGTATTTTCATTCTGCAACTTTGCATCGATTGTGCTAAAATGTCCGGTAGGCTGGTTACGAGGGCAGGAATTCGGACATTCTTGTTTTTATCTAATCTGAAAATAAGAGCTGCAATAATAATAATGTACACATCAGCTTATGTTGAATTATTAAAAAAAAAAACCAACAGAAAAACTAACAATTAACGATAAAAGAGAAAACTAAATAATACAAATGAAATGAATACCTCAAATGCGACTTATCAATAGGCCAAATATCTTTCAAAGGAGCATCTGCCATGTCCGGTCTGTGTTTTTGTTTGATGTTTTTCTGCTTTGTATCGATCTGATGAGTTAAACCCTTTTCAACTGATTTTTATAGTTTGTTCTTATGTTGTACTGTTACAACACTGTCCCAGGTTTGGTTTATCCCAGCCAAATTCTTTATGTTCTTGACCCAAGTCAGGAGACTGTAGTTCAATGGTTGTCGTTGGTTCATGTCTGTCATGTTTGTTTTTCGTACATTGTTTTGTTATAAATAATGCCGTTAGTTTTCTCAATTGAATTGTTTCATATTTTTCATGTCGGGGCCTTTTATAGCCGACTATACGGTTTGGGTTTTGCTCATTGTTGAAGGCCGCACGGTAATTGCTTACATCCACTTCATTTCAATTTTGGTGGATAGTTGTCTCATTGGCAATCATACCACATTTCCTTATTTTATATAAGTGGAAATTGTCAAGGATGACATAAACTCGCAGAATAAGTAAAACTTTGGTTGACCAATACAAGGCAACTAGTCGCACTAGACGTATTAGTACACACTTAATAACTACACAAATAATATGCCGTTAAGTAAAGAAATCGTAAGGATTATTTCCCAAAATTGCACTAAAGACCTTATGACAAAAAAATACCTTTCATTTACTCGGAAGTCTCGTCAGTATGCCACATGCAATGCTGCACCAGTTTTTCGACAGTTTGCATTTCTATGAATAGAATAGATATGATATAATGCAACACAATCTGTTTTCTCAAATTCATGCATAACATATGCAGATGAAGAAATTGGACACATTGAGTGGTTTATAAAAGTAGAGGACGGAGAGAAGGGCAGAAGAACGCCATTGTGTTATTGTGCTATGGTCATTTTTGTATTCTTGTCTTTCATTTCTGCTCATGTGCTTTGTTTATAGAATATCTATATGCCATTTTGTTTTTCTTGTTGACATAGTTTTTGAAGTGATAAAGATTTTAACACAATGTTGACTGCTGTACCCCAACTTTTAACATTTTTACCTATTATGTCTGTTTTTTTTGTTTTTGTTTTTTGGCTCACACATTGTTGACAATATAACGGAATTATATGCGACTGTCCTACACGTGAGATGTTTAGCTTGCTTTAAAACCAGTTTTAAACAACCATTTTCTACATTTGGAAATGCCTGTACTAAGTCAGGAATATGACAGTTGTTTTCCATTCGTTTGATTTGTTTGAGCTTTTGATTTTGCCATTCGATGGAACTTTCCGTTTTGAATATTCCTTGGAGTTTGGTTTTTTGTTATTGTACTTTTTACATAACAGTGTAATGAAGTACATATCACTTTGGTGGTGGATAATTTCCATGTTTGTAGCTTCTTTTATATGTAGTGTACATTTCTCGGTTGGTTCGATAAGCGCGATTAAAAAAAAATAATGATTTTTTTTTTGGATTATTGTAAATAAATTAACATCAGTGTTGATGATATCATAAATGTGATAGCATTAATATATCTTATTCTGTAGATCCAAAAACAGATAGGGTTCGACATAACACATATTATTAAAATGAATTAACTCTTCAATGATATATCAGGCGCGTAGCTGCCTTTACGCAAAAAATCATTTGCTTGCACATTTTTTTCACAAAAAAAATAATTCTGAAATTAAATTACGAATGAGTAGGAAGACAGGTCAACCGGGCTAACTATCCAGCTGACACTCCAAGTCAGTATTGGAAGCGAGCCTTGTATTTCTCCTTTCTTGACTATTTCATTGAGGAACTCACAGCCTAGGACGTTTACTGGATAACTCCGATCGTTTTCAAGGCCAGAACCTTATACCTGCACGTTTGGAATCTTTGACAGCAGAGTGTATAGACAAACTATACGAAACATTTAGACACGACTTGACGGACAATCAAGAAACCTTCAACTCTGAGGTAAAGAGATGGCAGAGACGCTGGTCCAGATGTTATAGAGTAGCCCAAATCTCTGATGTCGTCTCTAGCAGTGACTAAAAAGGAACTATATCCTTCAATCGTTTGCAATCGTGTCAATCCTAGTTACAATGCCAGTAACTACATCAACTACTGAACGGTCATTTAGTGCATTACGGCGACTGAAAACTTATCTTTGTTCAACCATGGTATAGGACAGACTATCTTCGTTGGCGCTCATACATGTTCACAGAGAAATGAATATCGACACAGAGAGAGTTCTGCGATCATTTGCCTTGGCAAAAAATAGATATATGGACTTTGGATATTAACTATACTTTAAGTCTTACATGCAGTATTAACATTTAGTAATACAGGCTCAATACAATAACCTTGAAAACATCTTAGATTTATATCCCTCACTTATAAGTCAAGACTTAAAAGTCGCCGTTTGATTTCGTATTCCCATTATCCGTTCGTCCAAAAGACTACTAATTCACCTTGGGTATCTGTGTCCTTCTACCGTTGTCGTAGAAACCCTTCCTTTGATTCGAAAATGACCTTAGTGAGAAACGCTACGGTCGGGTGTCTTGCAAGAAGCAGGACCTGCTTACCCTTTCGGAGCACTGGAGGTCGCCACATTTTTTTTGGGGGGTTCGTGTTTTTTTTATCTGTATTTAGTTTTCAATATTGAATGTTTTTGTTTGTTCTTTTGTGTCTTATCTGTTCCCGGGTTGGTCATGTGTCCATTGATTGCCCTTCTATTGATAAACGCTTCGGTTGACTTGTCGACTGAAATTCCTGTTTTATAAAACTTATTTTATATTTGAAAACAACCATGTTAATAAGGAGTAATGTGAATTTCATAAGCATGGCATACCTGGAAAATGACCGAAAAATGATTATTTTCTGCATAAAAAGGTCCCAAAAAATTTTTCGCCTCGCACCGCTCGGCGTAAAAGACTTATGCTTGCACTTTATTTAAGGCCAGCTACGCCCCTGTATATAACATGTCACAAGTTTGTTTAGATTTACTAGGAAACCATTTACCCGCGATTCTTGTGGGGGTGTCTTCCTCCTATTCCCACTTTTTAAAAATCACTATTCCTTCTATTCCCACATGCAAATAACAATAGATGTTTTGATAAATAATTTGTTTTTATGAAAATCAAGGTTAATTAAAAATTCACCTAAGATTTACCTGTCTTTTTTTTAAAAGAAAACATATTTCTTACACTGTTTAAGTATAATATTAAAGTTTAAAAAAAAAAAAAAAAATTTAATACACTGTTTGTTTGTAATATGTTTTTCTTCTTCAAAGAATTACTTAAAAATAAAGAATAGGTCAGATAAATAGAAGTAAGATTAAAAAATCATTGAATTTGTAAACTTAAAAAATTGTCATCCGAACAAATAAATTGATGATAGATAATATTATAACAAACTTTCCCATCTTGCAAGATTTCCATGTACAACAACCGCAAGAAGAACCTACCAGTTTTACCAAAAACTGTTGATGAAATCAACATAGATGGTGTTTGGGCATATACTACCAAAGGTGACCCATTCCTGTCCGAGCCTATTCTTCCAACTTTACACATTTCACGCAATGGTTGACGGCGCAATGTATCCACTGGTACACAGTTTTCTTCCAGCCAAGAGCAAACTAGTATACACAAGGTTCCCGACTTTACTCAAAGATGTATGCCACCAACAGCAACTACAACTTCAGCCTACCACTATCTAGCCTAGACTATGAAGTCGCCATCCGAAATGCAGCCTATTCTGTATTTCCTGGCGTCAACGCAAAAGCCTGCTTTCTCCACTACACACAATGCATATGGAGAAAAACACATGAAACAGGGATTCAGGTTCCATACAAGGAAGACAACAACATTCATACCGCTGTCCTTCCACTTGTACCTACTGTTGAGGTCGAAAACGTGTGGTTTAATTCCCTAACCGACATAGATCAGATTGATACTAACATCAACTACACGCCCTTTACAGACTATGTAACAACATACTGTTTCAAATAGAACAGTCACCTTTGGGACCATTACACAACACAGGGACCGAGGACTACACATCATCTAGAGGGATGGCACAGCAAGCTGAAGAAACATGTCCAGCACCCACATCCAAACATCTTTAAACTCATAAAACTACTGAAACATGCCGAAGCTTTCAACGCCCCGACCATGATCCAGTATGCAGCCGGTGGGAAGAGAGTGGCCCAAAAACGAAAGTATTTCGAAATCAACAACAGATTAGAAGAGCTTAAGTTTAGACACCCCAACCAGGAAATCACAACAGTACAGTTTGGTGATGCAGCCTCCCACCTTCTTCACGTTGAATAGATAAATAAACTTTAATAAACTTATATACAGTGAATTTCTAAATTAAATGTGTGTGCTACAATGTGTGATTTGTTTTAGTGCTGTTAATTTGTATTGTTTGTTTCATATTATAATGCTTGCTTGAATCTACTGTTGAATTTGTGTTATTTAAGAAAGAATTAATTTACTTATATTTGTTTCCATTTCTTTCATATTTATTTTAATTAAAAACACAGAATTCATACACATACAAAAATAACCTATTTCCTATCCAAAAAAACACTTGTCAATTAAAAGTTGATTAAACAATGTTTATACAGTATAATCCTTTGTTTGCACAAGTTTCCCCCTATTCCCACATAAAATTTGAACTTTTCTTACCAGATTTATAAAAAGTGGGAATAGGAGGAATGAACCCTTGTGGGGTTCGTGTTGCTTATTCTTTAATTTTCTATGTTGAGTTTTGTATACTTTTGTTTGTCTTTTAGTACTTTTTGCCATGGCGTTATCAGTTTATTTTCGAATTATGAGTTGGAATGTCCCTTTGCCTCTCTTTTCTTACTTTAGACAGATCAGAAATATAAGAAAAACACATCTTGAGTATTTGTAAAGACCCCCACTATTGAATAAAAAATGTTTTGAATAACACTATCATGATTTTCCCCTTGAACAATTTTGACAATGCCACATGAAGGGGTTTTCGTCTTTTATTTTATTTCAAAATATAACACAAACACAGTTGCGTTTGTTACCTCTTCATTTCGTCGGTAGATCTAAATTGATTGATTGGTGTCTAACGCCACTTTCAGCACTATTATGCTATTTCGTGGCGGTCAGTTTTTATTGGTTGAGGAAGCCGGAGTGCCCGGAGAGAATCACCTACCTTCGGTAGAAAAACCTCAGTGTTTACAGGCTAGTGATGGAGCAGTTCGACTACTTAGACCACTCGGCCACCGAGGAATATTGCTACATAGAAATGGAAAGTTCACAATTCAGAAGCTGAAATCATCTTTTTTGTCGTTGAATTTAGTTCTTAATCAACCCTCATTGTCAATTTCTGGAAATGATATATTACAAAAAAATATTAATTATATAAAATGTAGACAACCTTTTAGTATTCAAGTTTCCAGTCATATCCTTTATTTAATATAATACAATGTACTGTGTACTGAGCCTTTACCGATTGTTATAATTGCGTTTGTGTTATTGTCTATTGTCTATTGTCTATTGTCTATTGTCTATTGTTAATCTCTTTCCGAAGCGAATCTAGAAATAAAGTGACAGGAAATATAAAGTCACAAAATAGATCAATTAAATAGTTATTTTGACAAATTAAAGTTTTAAAATGTATTTTTTCCTGATTTTCATTAAGCTTAATACTATTTATTTTTTTATGTTATAAAACAAATATTCCAGTGAAGACTACAAGACTTTTCTTCAGGGCACGAAATTTATTGCTTTAGGACACAAAATATGGATTATAGAGTGTCATACATTTATAAAATTCAAATATAAACCAAATAATACAGTTGTTATCTTGAAACGCGGAGAGATGAGGACGGTGTTAATCCAAGTAAATTATTATTTTTTTTATTCTGGTAAAATTTTCTTTCGTATAACTTCAGCAAGGCCTTGAGAGTCTAGACAGAAGATGCTTTCAAATTAAAATCACACAACAGAAGTATGGTAAGCTCACCTAGCCAAAAGCATCAACCGAGGTATTGTCATCACTTAGAACTATAAGATTTACATACACATAGTTTCTCCTAAGAAACAATTTCGAACATTTAAACGAAATTCATTAATGATAATGGGTTAGTCCTTAACTAATTTACACTTTTTGTGAACAAATCCAACTAAGAAATGATCATCACTATGGACCATAAATAGAACCATTCTAGAAGTACTTACATATAGCTTCTGAGAAACCATCTTGCACATAAAAACCAAATCATGTACAAATGCACCTTAAGTACGCATTCCTCTACTAATTTTCAGTTTTTGACAAATAGTGTGTTATCCATGTCCACTGCGTCTAAACTACCCCGGCAAAAAATGTTTGAACTCAATATTATCTAATATCTGGTACGGTGACGGACCATCAACAGACAGAGAAAAGGTAGGATTTCTGTTTATTTGAGTAACAAATAAATAAACAGAAATCCTACCTTTTCTCTGTCTGTTGATGGTACGTCAACAAATAAATAAACAGAAATCCTACCTTTTCTCTGTCTGTTGATGGTACGTCAACAAATAAATAAACAGAAATCCTACCTTTTCTCTGTCTGTTGATGGTACGTCAACAAATAAATAAACAGAAATCCTACCTTTTCTCTGTCTGTTGATGGTACGTCAACAAATAAATAAACAGAAATCCTACCTTTTCTCTGTCTGTTGATGGTACGTCAACAAATAAATAAACAGAAATCCTACCTTTTCTCTGTCTGTTGATGGTACGTCAACAAATAAATAAACAGAAATCCTACCTTTTCTCTGTCTGTTGATGGTCCGTCACCGTACCGGATATTATATACTATTGAGCCCAAAAATATTTTTTGCCGGAGTAGTTTAGACACAGTGATGTCAGTCTCGAACATTAAAACCAAGTATTTTGAATACACAGCATTGCTTATTTTGATGTTTCGTACTAGTCTAAAATTCAGAATAGCTTTTACTGTGGAGCACAGATTAACATAGATTCTTAGGGAAAAAAACACATAGAAAACGTATTTGTCAGAAACACCATCAAACATACTAAATCGATTAATACTATCCACACTGATCTGTGTCCACTCTTGATATACTATAAAATGTTTTTCTTACATCTTTTCAAATTTCAAAATATTCAAGCACAAACCGGCTATTTGCTAACCTTGCATTTTCCTTAACATTTTAAGTTCTTTTATAAACAGGCCATTTTCCGGTTACGTTGATGTTGCTTTATCTTTATGATTAGTGTAACAAAAGCAATATACCTGTCAACATTTACTAACATTCTGAAGAGATATACGATATATAGACACAAATTAAATCTACTATATGCGGAATGAAATGTTGGACATGACGTTATTCCGTATAAATGGAGTTATCGAATGCTGGTATAAGGGTATCTCAAATTTTAAGTCTTACTTTTTTACTATTTACAAGCCTATTATACTTTAAATAAACCGACACATTTAGTGATCTGACTGTTAAATGCATTGCTTTCAGTAGTAATCTATATCAAAATGAATATTATACCAACACCATGCGCAAAGTTATAAGTATTTTTGCCATGCACGCTTTGTTATGTTTTATTGACTTTGAAAGTGTGCATAGTTTACATGTAAAATTGTTGCCAATTTAATTTCACCATTTGCACAATACTATCAAAATTACATACAGGCAGGATATATCTCTGTCAAAAGTTTATTATTTCAAACAAATTAAGGGAATTAATTTCCTCTTTGTGATGATTGATTATGACGTATCAACAGAAAGTTCCACCAGACTGACTTAATTATATAATTTTCAGTTTTGAAAACAGCCTTCAATCAATTTGTGGATCTCTACATGTTCAGGTTGTTACATTCAGTACATGAAAAGTAAGTTTTACTTTTTTGTAATTCATTTTTTTTTTATTATAAATGTATAAAAGTACTAGATGCTTATAAAATTGAGATTGCAATGACTATCTAAACTCTATTACTAAAAGTTTTAAATTACTTTCTACGTCCATTCGTGGTTTTTTTTAAACAAGTGTGGACAGAGATCAGTGTGGATAGTATGTTTGGATGTTTGACAGTGTTTCTGACAAAAAGAGTTCTCTGTTTTCCCCCATAGGGTTCTATGTTAAAATGTGTTGCACAGTGACAGCCAACCTGTATCAAACACTAAAAATTAGCAGGATCGGTCATTTAATATTTAGTTTTAATGTTCAACACTGTCATGGAGGAGACACTAATTGCATGAATTACCAAATGATTCTGATAAAATTTGTTCCACAACTTTGATTTTGGATAGCAGCAAAAACTCAAAATAAGAAGAGGAACACATTAGGTGCATTTATGCATGATGTGATTTTAATATGCGAGATGGTATCTTAGATCCTGCATGCATGTACTTATTGTATGGTTCTATTTATGTTCTTATGTAGTGGTCATTTCTTACTTGGGTTTGTCCACAAAACTGTAAATTAGTTAAGGATCTTCCCAGTATCATTAGTAAAAGATTTCGTTTAAATGTCGAAATTGTTTCTTAGAAGATATCTAATGATTTTAAGAAATGACAACACCTGGCATGACGCTTGGGGCTAGATGAGCTAGAAAGTTCACTTCTGTGTTATTTGAGTTCTTTCGTCGAAAATGTCTTCTCCAAGGCCTGGTCGAAGTATGAAAATTTTATCAATTAAAGAACCTTTGTGAGCAAAGACTCATAACTTTTACAAAAGTAAACTGATAAAAATTCTTGTGGATATGAACATCTACATAATATGTTCTAATTATCTACAGAGTTTCCTGAAATTCTGTTGTATGATTTCAGAGGAGTTGCGATGAAAAGAACAGGACTGATGGACAAACGGACTGACGGGTCAAAACATTATATTTAATTAATTTGTTGTGTGGGGTATAATAACTTGGTAAATCCAATGAATTTGTTTATGGTTCTTAATTTCTAGAATTAAATTATGACAAATAATGTAGACTTGAAGAAATATGAACTATGATATTTTGATATTTGAAATGAAAAAGGTATTGCAAAATTATTCTTGTTTCAAGATTTTTGTTATACGGATAAAAATATTAGTGATACCAGTACAATAAGATGCAGTTTTGTTGTGGTATAAAAAAGAACAGTGTTGTAATTAACATTTATACAAATTAAATGAAATGATCTGCTGAGCGCAGGTGGATACGACCGCAGAGGTCGAACCCTGAATAGTTGGGCAAGTATGGACACTACATGCAAGCTTGATACAGCTCTGAATTTGGATTGTGATTAAGTATTTGAAACAGCATAGGTTTCTGACACAGAATGAATGTGGTCAAAGAACTGAAAAAATTTTAATTGGACTTTTACCTATTATGGTCCAATATCCAAAATCTAAATACACGGTTAGATTCAGCATATCCAAGTACATCAAGAATTCAATTTATATATTTATTGATGGACAAAATTAGCTATGTTTTTAATGGGGTTCACTTATATATATATATATATATATATATCATAGCATTCTGCAAATTAATTTATACAGAATAACAAACGAACCTACCATAAAAATCTTCAAACATTTTCCAAAAAAAAAAAGAAAAAAAATAACAATTTCCAAAATATCAGTCATCATTAATACAATGTCTTTGAAAAATCTATAAAACTTACCTTTATTTTTTCAAAATATCTATTAATGAACAGTAAATTTCAAACTATAATATTTATACATAATTTCTAAAATTGTAATATGATGCTGGTCTATTTTTAACTATGATTCTACTTTCAATTTCTATTAACTGTGCAATACATCTATGAATTTGGATTGTGAATAAATATTTGACATAGCATAAGTTTCTGACACAGATTGAATGTGGTCTAAGAACATAAAAAAATTTAATTGGACATATACCTTTTATGGTCCAATATCCAAAATCCAAAAATATGGCTAGATACAGCATATCAAAGAAATCCAATAATTCAATGTTTGATGAAATCAAACATAGTTTAATTTTAGACCCTTTGGACCTAAAACTGGACCAGTTTAAAAACCGGGCCCAAAATCAAAAATCTAAATATACAGTTAGATTCGGCATATCAAAGAATACCAATAATTCAATTTTTGATAAGATCAAACAACGTTAAATTTTGGACCCCAATTTGGACCAATTTAAAAACTTTGCCCAAAATAAAAAATCTAAATACATGATTAGATTCAGCATATCAAAGAACCACAAGAATTCAATATTTTGTTAAAATCAAACTAAGTTTAATTTTTTTTTTTTTTTTTTTTTGTAAATACGATGATTCAAACGAAAAAACCACCGGCCTGATTTTTGGCAAAGCAATAAATCAAAAACAATAATGGCAGACAGCAATCAACTGCAATCACTGCATTGCAGGTACATGACTTACAGCAATCAACTGCAATCACTGCATTGCAGGTACATGACTTGGAACAGGCACTTAAAAAATATGAAGGGTTAAACATAATTCTGAGCGCTTAACCCTCCCATTATCCTTAGGCAGTGGTATGATAGCAAAACATAAGGACTAACTGTAAAATACGTTGGAAAGGGCTTGACTCATCAGATCAACACGAACATAGAAGAAATCTAACCAAAAAAAACACAAACAACACAGAATACTGATCTAAAAGTACTCGCAGTTTCTGAAAAAAATATCTCATTACAACTAACAAATCAATCTTGTTTTCTCATCTAAAATTTAAACAATCACAAATTCATTGGATTTAATATAAATACATCATAAGAAGTTATAGAAAAACAGGACCTTGGGACTCCTAAACTATGAGTACCGTCACGATGAAGATAAAAAAGTGTTTATAATTGTACAGCATAACATATTTAGTTTTATAATTCTTCACGTTAAAATGCCAGATTATGATTGGCTAATACGAGGAAGATAATTTACTCTATCCCATGGAGCAGCGGGAGACAATTTCTTGAATGTTTCCCTCTCGTGCATGCCAATCAAAAATCGACAATTTAAAGGACAGTGAATTGAATAATTTAAAGACAATGCTCAAGTTCTATGTTTTAGTTTCAGAACATTTTTATAGACTGTCAAAATAAAAAACAAAATCCATGTCAGTAAGTGTAATTACTGCTTCTTATATAAAATAAAATCTGCAATTTCTAACTGAAACTCATATATAGACAATTCTTAACAAAGATGTATTCCATTTCACCATAATGAGACAATATTTTCTTTTTTTTTCAAATCTTTTAATAGAGCTCGAGTGTCCTGACTTTTTGTCAGAATATAATTTTCATCAGTCTCTGCCATGGTATTCGCCGGAACGTATATGCCTTTTTTCTCTCCACAGAGACACTTAATTACTTGTAGGCTTCATTAAATCCGACTGGTTTTGCTAACGGAATAATTGAATTAAATTTCGAATGTTGCTATTCGGTGTAATAAAACATATATATCATGTTCAGCATGGCTTGGGTATTTGCTTAAAATACCAGTCTTGAGATGAAATTTCTCTCACTTAGCAGCTTCGTTGCGATAATGACAGTCTTCAGATGAAATTTCCCTCGCCCAGCAGGGGTTTGGAATGTTTACCTTCTTTCAAGTGGTATTTTTCTGTTCAATTTACATACATGTATAAGTAAAAAAAATACCATGATTTCGCGCCATACAGGTGATCTTTATTTTCGACATTTACCTTTAACAAGAATTATTTTTTCCTATGAAGACAAAGGATGTTGACACTTTTCATTTTTGATACCAGACAACATTTAATACTTACCATATTCCGAAACAACCCTCAGTTGGGAACAAACGATACGCTGTTTATATTCAAAAGAATATTTCAGAAGATGCAATCGCGAAAGCACGATTGTAGGATTTTTTTAACTTGGTTGTTGTATCAATCGTTGGTCAAACTAGAATTGCGAGAGTAAGATTTTGTGAATGTGAACTTCGGGTGTGGTGTTTAAGCAAAACTTTTTGGGGCATTTTCCATGATATCAATATTTATAACAGAAGTCTAAAACGCACATCCTTTGGCTTTATTATGTTAAAATATACAATTATAGGATTTTTTTTTTATATTTTACAGGAACCTTAACAAACAAAGGACAATGATAATAACTGCAATGGTTAATTTGTTATTTGTGTCAACTTTCCTTAGTGTGGAGATGGACGCCGATTTAAAGTTCTCCTCTATGTGTTTTTTCAATACACAGTGCCGGTGCTTTAATGAGACAGGAACATCAAAATTACATGTGGATTGCGCAAACGGTATACTAGTAGAAATTCCAGAATTTCCTCAAAATGTTTACATTCTAAACCTGCAACATAACCGTATAAAGGAAATAGAGGATAACGTATTTCAAAGTTTAACGAATTTATCCTTGTTGGATTTATCACATAATAAGATTACACTTTTGAAATTACACTCTTTTAAGGGATTGGGAGAACTGAAAGTGTTAAACTTAAATGACAACCCAATAGCGTATACAAGGTTTCCAAACGGTACTTTTATCCCGTTAGTCTCGCTTAGTCATCTTTGCATTAAAAGTACAACTAAAGCGGTTGGTAAACGTGCAAAAATTTTCTCGGATAAAACAATGTCAGACTTGAAGACATTGGAGAAATTGGAAATAGACATTCCTACAAAATCTGCCACACCTATTATATTTGGAGAAGGATATAAATATTTGAATCATCTTATTTCTCTCAATATCGGCAGATGTTATTATCCAGTATTAGTTGACGAAAACACCTTCCAGTTTATGTCACGTTTGACAATAATTTCTTTTGACATTCAGTGTAATATGTTTATCCACCCGGGTGGACATCGAAGTCTACAGAGCATAAGACAACTTTACGTGCACCGTTTAGTTAAAGATTTGGTAGATAATTTACTATATTTTAATAATCTTACAAACGAATTAAAACTGACACCAATAGAAACATTGTCATTTCAAAACACTTTTCCAGATAGTTTTGATTACTATCCATGGAATCCAATAAGTAAAAGCTTAAACAACTCGTCTCTAAAGATTCTAATAATGACCGAAAATAGACTTGGTGAAAGCTTTCCACCGTCTAAACTTTATCCACCTCCTTTAAGTTTACAAGAACTGAATCTTTCAAGTAATAAACTTGAGCAATTTGCGTTAGATTTAGGAAATATTCGAAATCTTAGTCTACGAAATAATGTTCTTGGAGGATTTTTAAGTACTCATAGTTATAGTTATAAAAGGTCAACTATATCTAACAGTTTTCTTGAATTTATAGATTTGTCGATGAATGGTATTGAAAAGCTAACATTTCTATTATTCAAGGGACAGCCAAATTTAAAATATATCAATCTGAATCATAACAAGTTGCAAAAGATTACTTTTGATGTGTCTCGATTGAAAAATCTCCGTTATTTAGATTTATCAAGCAACAATTTTACGACATTAGACGAGAAAGCGATGGCAATGTTCGATGGTCTGTCTAAAAATACTTTCTTCACAGTTAATTTACAAAAAAATGCATTGCTATGTACCTGTAACACACTGCCATTTTTAAAGTGGATTTCAAAAACAAAAGTTGCTTTGTTGCTAAACGATAAGTGTAATTTAGAAGATGGGACTGTTGTAAGTTTCAACCCAATTAATTCAATAATAAAGCAAGTACAGAAAGGATGTACGACATATACGACCTTAGTCATTGCTTTGTCTATATGTTTGGCAGTCATGTTGACCGTTCTTATTTTGGCTTTAGTGTATAAATACAGATGGAAACTCCGCTACATGTTTTATCTTGCCAAAAGTAAACACTATAGTAACAAGGCTTCCAATGACCATGGTGAATACACTTACGATGCGTTTATCTCGTACTGTGATAATGATAGAGCATTTGTGTTAAAAGATTGCATTGGAAGCTTAGAAAATGAAGGGAATTATAAACTGTGCGTGCATCAACGTGACTTCCTACCAGGCCAAGAGATAACAGTCAATATTACAAACGCTATCCATGACAGTAGAAAGACAGTCTGCATTATAACAAGAAAGTTTTTGGAGTCTTACTATTGTATGTTTGAATTTAACATGGCCCGGATGGAAAACATTTATTCTCGAGATGGAAGGAATATCATTTTCCTAGTATTTCTGGAGCAAATTCAACCAAAAGAAATGCCACTTATGATGCTCGAACTTATAGAGAAACAGTCTTACATTGAATATCCCAATGACGAAGAAGGAAATATTGTGTTCTGGGGAAAAATAAAAGAAGCTATTCATTCATGACATTTGTTGCAGTACTGAATTTGTTGTCCAAAAAGATTTTTTATATTAGTCTTCATTATGTTTTTACTTCAACATTAATAAATAACATGCATAAAAATACATTACTTGGGGAAAAAATGGCAATGTTGATTCGAACGCAATAAGATGTGTATTTATATCACCATACTTGTCAAGAAAATCATTTTATTACGAAACCGTGAGTCAGATATATAGAGCATGCTAGCATCATGAACCTGGTTGGGTCTGAAGGACAACGTTTGCATATTATATGTGTGGGGGTGCATATATTTTGGGTGTCAGTCAAAAGGGGTAGCCTTAATACCGCATGCTTAGCAATTATCTATTCTCAGTCTTTGGTTTCATCCGACCGGTGATCGAACCCATAGCCTTCCGCACTCTCGAGTCGTGCAACATCGAGGCAATTCTTATTTTGGCTGAGATATCCAAAAAATTATTATTTTGAAAAGCATCTAGTAAACATATCTTTTGGAAAAAGTTATGACCACAGCTTGTATATATTCGGTGTTGACATGAATATCAATAATATGGTATTTTTTTTTTTATAAATTAACTTTTTGCAAAAGTAAAAAATTTTCGAAATACTAAGGATTTTCTTATCCCAGGCATAGATTACCTTAGCCGTATTTGGCACAACTTTTTTGGAATTTTGGGTCCTCAATGCTCTTCAACTTTATACTTGTTTGGCTTTTCAACTATTTTGATCTGAGCGTCACTGATGAGTCTTATGTAGACGAAACGCGCGTCTGGCGTATAAAATTATAAGCCTGGTACCTTTGATAACTAATTATGCATGCAACAATTGAATTTTCAAAAGTCTGTGTTTCCAATTTAGGTAAATTCCAAGAAACAGTTCTGGTCCGCTAAGCACATGGTATTTATGAGCAAGAACAAAGACTGATATAGAAGATTCGAACAAACGTTCTTGATCATAGTTCCTCTGTTCCATGACTGCCCACAACACGAATGCCCCCCCCCCCCCCCCCCAATTTCAAGCTATGACATTTTCCAAATTAAAAAGGGGCATATCTCACTGCCCAAATTCGAAGTATGTCTGCGTATTTTGGTTCATTGCATTGTGTATGAGCTTCATAAAATTTGGATGAGGAAAACTTAAGTAAGAGTTCGGAAACATGCAATTTTCCAAGTTATAAAGGGGTATAACTCTAGAACGGTAAGTGACTTACTGCCCATATTTTAACTCTGTGTGTTTTTGTTTTAAGCATTGTTTATGAGTTTCATAAAATTCAGAGGAGTTAAACTTAAGTTAGAGTGCGGAAACGAAAACATCTGCAATTTTCGAAGTTATAAAGAGGCATAACCCTAGAACGGTAAGAGACTCACTGCCCAAATTCAAACTATCTGAGTAATGGTTCTAAACATTGTGTATGAGTTTCATAACATTTTGATCAGGAAAACTTAAAAGTTAGAGTGGAAGAAACGTAATGCCCCCATTGCCTCAGCTTAGGGCATACAAATCAGCAGTATAAATTGACAAAAAATCAGCAGTTTTAATTGGCAGATTCTTCCCAAACCTGGCGGGGCGTCTGGCTAATAATAAATTCAATTAGAAAAATAACTATTTTTTCACTTCCCTTTTGCAACTGATTTTTTTCTCAACAAATAAAGAATCAAACTATTCGTGTATTTATCTAAAAAACAAACAATGAAAATTGGCTATTAAAAGCACACTTTCCTTCACAGGTTACTGTTTCCATTTGTACATCGTATCGGTAAACCTGAAAAATATATACTAGTAATACTTAATCACAGCTTAAAATTTAAAAACAATCTTTACAAAACAATATCGCATATGTAAGTTATAAGAAATATACTATTCTAATTTACGTATTTGTGTAACAAGGACTATTGTAAAGAGAAAATTGATAAATATGCAAGCACAAAGAAGGCTAGATGACTGCAAGGTTCTATTGTAAATCACAATATAAAAGACGTCATTTAAATTTGATGCCATTAAAGTATCCGAGGTGCAGAATAGTGCGTTTAATACAGGGTTAACAAATTCGTTGATGGATATAGATAATTTCGAAAACAATTTTATGAGTTTTGTTTTTACCTTTGACATCCATCAACCTTGATGTATTATCCAGAACCGTCTTTATAACTTCAATTTGGTCGTGCAGATCTTCTACTGTCAGTAAGATTTTCCCAGCTAAACATGACAAATATATATGCATCTATTATTAAACTACTAGTATGTATGCTTCAATCCTTCTGTCTTTAAAATGTTAACTGTATTGTAATTGTGTTGTATTTTACATTCATAATAAACTATTTGAACCCTTCTATTTTATACATGCTAACTGTAAAATTAAAATAGAGAATGGAAACGGGGAATGTATCAAAGAGACAACAACCAGACCAAATAGCAGAAAACAGTCTAAGGCCACCAATGGGTCTTCCACACAGCGAGAAAATCTCGCACCCGGGAAAACATACAAGACTAACAAAGGCCAGAGGCTCCTGCCTTTGGACAGGCGGAATTTTGACGGCCAGAAATTGTTTAAAAGAGAGGCGAAAGATACCAAAGGGACATTCAAACTCACAAGTCGAAAATAAACTGACAACGCCATGGCTAAAAAGAAAAAAAAAACAGTACACAAAACGCAACATGAATTAAAAGAATTCTATTGGTATAAACAATATAAAATCGATACGTGCCTGCTTTAGACCTTAAGACCATACTTAACATTTACACTGAACGTTAAGCAAGCAAATTATGATATGTAATGGGTGTGTAAAATGTATAAACCACATCAAATGGAAACATTAAACTACTAGTATACTTGAATCTTTGTCTTGAAGGTTAAACTGCACAGTCTATGCCAATGTTATTGCGACATCAACTAAACAAACAGTGGTTTAAAGCCATACACACTGTTAGTTTTATTGACTATCGATACCGCTGCTATTGGTCTATTAGTCCCAGAGGATATAAGCTTAGAAGTCAGTGTTACGGTACTGACATGATTTATGACTTATTTTCTATAAATTCTCCGTTGATAAATTAAGATATAAATATGAAACTAAGATTCTAATTTTCTCAGGCAAAGTTGACTTTAGATGAATTTTGCTACTTTTTTTATGTCTCTTTTTGGTTATGCAGCTCCTTACGTTTCAACTTTTTTGTACATTTTTATACTTCTTCTTCAGTGAAATTACTATGTAAAACAAATACTAACCCGCATAATAGCCAGCGTCCTTAATCTTTTTAATTTCTGCTGAATCTGGATGTTCCAATAGCTGATGATTTAATTGTCTCAGTTTTTTTGAGGAATGTATAATTGTTTCTTTCCAGATATTGATTTCAGAGAGAATTGTTATCGCCTTCTGTGACTTTGCATCTAGTTTGCTGTAAATGTCCTTAAGACTAGTCACGATGGCAGGGATACGGAAATTCCGGTTTTTGTCTAGTCGGAACATGAGAGCTGCAATAATTATTCAAAAAATAGCAAAAATACAAGAAAATTTTAAAGACAAAAAGACAACTTACAATTACCTATAAAAGAAGACCAAATAATATAAATTGAATAAATACGTCAAATTTAACTTAGCAATATTAAAGCCAAATATCTTTCAAATGAGAATAAGTGGGAATTGAATTTGTCATAGACGACATAAACTCGATGAATTAGTTAAACCTTGGTTGATTATTGCGCGACAACTAGACGAACTTGTACACACTAAATAACTTTAACTTCGCAAATAATATGTCGTTTAGTGTGAAAATCAACAAAGTAATTTCCCTTGCACTAAAATTGAGTTTAAAATTCAACTTAGAAATATGTATGTAAAAACTTGTTCGAAATATCATTACTTTAATATAAAAAACACAAATACCTTTCATTTCCTCTGAAGATTCGTCAATTTGCCACATTCCATGTAAAGTCAGTTTTTGAACAATTCGCATTTCTGTTTTAATAGAATAGATAGGTGAGTTAATATAACAACACATGTTTTCTCAAATTGAGGCATTATTTATGCAGATGATGAAATATATGAGGACATATTGAGTAGTTGATAAAAGAAGAGGACGGATAGAAGGAAAGAATAACATGTAACAAGTTTAACGAAATACATATAACATTGGTGGTGGATACTTTTCATGTTTCTTGTTTTAATCACAAATCCTTCTGAAAAAAATACATCCGAGTCTCACACGTACCTTTGAGTAAATTTGAATGGGACAGGTTTTCGTGCAGAAGATTACAGAAGAAATACGATGCAACGAAGAAGAGAATCATATGTATTTTGTAAGGGTTAAGCCACTGGAAAAGAAAAAGAAATAAAATAGAAAATATACATAAGGCAAATCGTACACTATATGTTAGAAATAGAAAAGTGAAAGTAAAACAGAGAAAAGGGTCGGTAAATAGTACGTTCATAAAATATTAGACTACACAAACAAACAAAAAGTCTCAAAAACGAATGAACGCTTGATCGCTGATGTTTCGCTGCCTCCTTCTTATTGACTGTACATTAATTTAGCTGCTTCGATATGCTCGTGTTTAAAGTCTTTTAAATGAATTTGATATTTGCATTAATGTAAAAAAAATAACAACTGTGTTAAGATATCATAAAGTGACCAAAACGTTTGTTTTAAAGATTTGAAACACGAAGTACAGGTTATAATCAGTAAGAGACGAGATTTTTTTTAAAAATATATATGTGTATATTATAATGGATTGAAATATCCAGGTTAATCCTGCAATTTGATTGGTAATGCTTAAACAGGGAATATGTACTTATCCCCTGTGAAGATCCCGAATAACATATAATATACTGAATAGTGTATAATTCAGTATATATACATATATTTGAAAAATATCGTATCGTACCTGTGGTGATAATGTTTATATTTTGCATTGAAATTCTGTATATTTTTACTTTTTAAATTACACAAGATCATGACTTGCTGCGCATGTGGTGTATAATGTTGCTGAAAGAAAACTACACCGAAGTACAGTCGCCTCTATTACAGTTAAGACCGGCACCATTTTATATCAGTATAGTCCTGATCCCTGTTAGTAGAGGCGAATATTCTTTAATGGTATACCAAGGGTTAACATTTTCCTGTGTTTTGTTATATCTGCAGGATAAAGATAAAGGCTTTTCTTTGGTGTATAAATTGTAGTTTTTTCTGTCTATCTTTTGTTATTCCACAGGTAGAAATAAAGAAGGAAATATTTGAGTGCCTTATAGATTACTTTAACCTCACAACATGCCCATGTGCTCTTTCTAAGTCATGTATATCCATATCTTTATTTACTAATACTTACATTTGCTAAAACTGTCAACATGTCCATGGACGTTATCAGGAATTGTTGCAGGAAATTCTTGTGAAATTGTATCTCCTCTATCAAAACTTCCATTAGATCAGAACTGTTTATAGGTGAGGGCGGGAAGTTTTTCGCAAAATCACTAAAATACACGAATTATCTCATTCATTTTGAAATACAAACAAATAAAAATAATCCAGAAGACAATCCACAAACACAAAAAACGGGAATTTAATAATTGACCGAAAAGTTATATTAGTGTACTCCAGTATGGCAAGCTATTTTAGTATACATGTACATGTAAGAACAAATATATAATAGCAATAGTAATACTCTCCATCGGAGAGTAAGAAAACTGATATTGAATCGATATTAGATAGTTGTTCTTGCATGTCATCAGATGAAGTAAATTATTTTTGAATACCGATGAGAAAAAAATATATAATCCTCTTGTTTATAAATGTTATTGAAATTGTGTAACTGCTCTTATAAAACCATAGAAAATACTAACCTGTTGACGATCCAATGAATAACGGGTCCATCTTCTAATGTACTGATGTCGAATGGTACTATTGGTAATGTGCTCCATCCATCTTCTAATGTAATGATGTCGTATGGTACTATTGGTAATGTGCTACATCCATCTTCTAATGTACTGATGTCGTATGGTACTATTGGTAATGTGCTCCATCCATCTTCTAATGTACTGATGTCGTATGGTACTATTGGTGATATGTTCCATGAAATGATTTCTACAAGTATGTTTAGAATTAACAAAATCACAAAAGCTGCATACAGCTTCTTACGTGTATCCATCTTTCACGTTACTAACGTAACTAGGGCCAATGTTCTTGACATCATAAACAACTATAACTGTGGCGTAAACGCTGCTAAACAATTTTTACATAATAACCGGTCTCTGAGCGGTGTAGTTTTTTGAAGTAGTAATAAGATTATATCTACCAATTTCACTGAAGTATATACTAGTATTCTTTACATATAAAACTAAAGCTGGATGTCATAGAATATAAGACTGTAATAAATGTCTTTTTTTGCAGAGAAAATATTATGATTTGCTAATTGGTAAAATGATTGGTTTTTGAGAAAGAAATGAAAAATGAACGTCAGATCAGTAGCATTTAACTGGTGCAATAATAAAGGTCTGCCACCCCTTATTCAAAAAAATTTAAATGGACTGTCATCGCAGACAAGTCTTTCTACCCGCCCTCGCCCAAAGCAAAAACAAACAAACAAAACACAAAAATGGTTGTATAAGCTGGGACATATTAGTATAATAGTCCCAGCTAGGTATTAGTAAGTATTTTTAGATATTCAAAATCAAATTTAATCAAAATCAAATATTTTATTGGATAAAGCAAATATGATGAATATGACAATGCGTAATCCAAGTGTACATCATGCATGGTATATACAACATGACAAATAATGTAGATAAAACATAATGCATAACAAGAGAAAATTAATGGTATGCTATATACATGTATATATAACTACAAGTCTATTTTTGGAATAGTACTTCCATAACTGACACTAAGCGTTATAATGAACTTCAAAAGCTTGTCGCAAATAATTGCATATTTGTTTGGCATTATCCAAATCATTTGTATTAAGTAAATATATTACTGATTTGATATCATAATTTTTAATCAGATTTTTGAAAATACTAAACTTCTCTCGAACGTTTTTATATAGGGGACAATATTAAAGTAGTTGCACTTCATCCTCTACTTTATCTACGCAAGATTTGCAGAATCTTTCAGTTGCTGAAGTTTTTGGTTTACTGTTTTCCCCGTTTCAATAATAAGTGAATGTGCACTTCTTCTATTTTTTTTAGAAGTGATCTCTCATATTTTGGTATATCAAAGCTTAGGTAAGCTTTTAAGTCAAATGATGAACAAATTTTACCATAAAATCTGAGTTAACCTGTGTTCTAAGATTTAATATGCTCAAGTTAATTTTATATTTTGCATTTGTAACTTTTTTTAATG